CACTCTCTCGGTCGCAAGGCCAAGGGATTTCGAATCAAACTACCAAGTTATCTCTCTTGGCCAATCGACTATGGGTTGCTTGGGCTTCACCCTCAAATCGTAGTTCGGACGACCAAAATACAACCTACTCAAGGTGCTAATACGCATTAAGTGGTTTGCCCTAATTCAAACTAAGTAGGTGACACAATTTTGCCAAGGAATTCCATCTTTTACAAGCCTCTTAACAAGAGGAGATTCCCTTTACCTAGGTCAAATTGGTATAAGAGTTGGAAATGAAAAAACACAACACAAGCTTCATGAAAATACCTCAAAACGTGTATTAAAATGCAACCACACACAAGTCATTCAATCCATACAAGCATTCACATAGTTCTAGCTAGGGTTTACAAACACCCAAGTGAAAGAAAGGACTACTCCATGCTAAGTAGAGGGATACACGAGGGAGAAGAGAGAAACCCATCTTAATGATGTTTGCCTTCTTCTTGTGGTGTGGAGATCTACCTTGGAGGAAGAAATTTCCAAAACTTTGCTCTTAATGAAATCCTAACTTCTCCTCTACTCTTGTTCATCAGTTTCTCATTCTAGAAATCTGAAGAAGAAGTTTCTCACACTAGGTTCTCTCCCCTTTCTCTTTCAGCTCAGCCCTTCTTATATACCCTGATCGACGACATTTCACGGTCCCATTTGACGGCCATGAACATTTGGCTTGTACCGTGATGTCGAGCAAAAGTGCGTCGTTTCATTATGGTGCTTCGCGGTTTGGAGCTATTAGAAAATAGTTTGCTCACTCAAACTATTTTCACCTATAGTTTGCTCCATAGAATTCATAGAAAATAAAGTTGTACTAATTCCTGAGAGACGATACCCGGACTTTCAGTTTACTATAAGATATGAATTGAAGCATTACGCTTTTGCCCCTATCAATAATGTGACTGCTAAACCAAAAAGTTATTCCAACTTTACTCTTTGGTCCGAATATGGTCAACAAAATTTTCTTCATCAAATTTATTTATAATATATTTTTCTTTTTAGTTTTGAATTTATACTTTTCACACAAAAAATTAGATTAATCGTACTCTTAAAAATTATACACCTTAATTATTTTTTCAAGGAATATATTACCACTGCCTATATAAGATTTACCCGAGTGGGATCAAAGTGTACCATGGTGTAAAATGATTGTACACATAACCATATGAATATACTAATCATTATATGTTAGCTTTCATCACAGTCTACAATCATTTACCATTCTGATAGCCAGTTGTTTGTGATCGGACAGTATTGCTCTTATTTATGAGGTTCATTGGTTAATGGTTTTGCGAAAATATAACCCAAAAATAAAATACTATTGAAGTCGTAAACATGACAAGCTAAATAATTACCAAAATATTATTTTGTACTTTCTCTTTGTTTCATTATTCGGTTGTTCGTTATCTCCCTTTCTTTATTTCCATGTTTGATTCTCTCATCCAATTCTAATCGATCTATATATCTTATATTATTGTTGCTTTATAACAATCTCTTGCCACATAGGATTCAAGAACCTCCAAAATTTTGCATCTCATCTTTATCATTTTAGTTTTTATATAAATTTTTATGTTACTCTAAGCTAAAAATAGTAAAGATATATATAATCATCACTGAGACTCGAACCTACAACCTCCGAGACCCAAATTAATATCCTTTAGAGTGTTTAACTAATGGGATAAAATCTAGTTTATGCTATCAACAACAAAAAGATTACTACTCATCTTATGAAACAGTTTAACACCTGACCTTTTAATGTGATCTTTTGCTTTACCAGTTGACCTTCGACTCAGGTATAAAAGCATTTGACATAAATTAAAGCAATAAAAATGTCTATTATATTTTATATTTATCGTACTAAATTATTAATAAATAAAATTAATGGATAAATTGGCCAGATTAAATTTTCTCATCCAAAACCCTGATGGACACCCAAACACATAATTGACCCAAATCCCGTTTGGATCAAGGATTTTAATTCGAGGGATTCATGTACACTTAAATTTTTAGATTATATTTGTTTGATTTTTTATGTAAAAAAATATGAAATCCAAGTTCAAAAGAATAAGATATATTATGTTAAAATTTAATGTATGAGTGGTTACGCATTTGTGTTTAATTTTACGGTTATGCACATAAAGTGTTCGAGACAAGTTTCACAACTATGACATTTTGTCTTTCGAAAAAATTGAAGTGGACTTCGGTTATCTTTTTTACATTTCTACTTTGCTCAAGTCAGCATTGTTCGCAAAATTCCCTTTTCTTTTCCGCCCTTTTTCCCACAAACATAACTCCTTTTTTAAGACATTTGTATGTCGGCTCTGCTCAAACTCTGTCATTTGTAAATACATTAACATTAAATCATCCTCCGCATTTTGCTTCTTCTTCATTGTTGGTTAGTGAATGATTAGAACATCCTAGGTCAGCACATTTTCACATACATTTGTAGACTTCACTTAAGTCGCTTTCTGATAGGGCAAAAGCGTGTATGCCAATTTCCTATCTTGTAGTAAAACCGGAAATCCGGGTATCGTCTCTCAGGGACTGGTACAACCTTATGATTTATCAATTCTTTCGAGCAAACTATACGTGAAAATGTTTAAGAGATGAAATTATTAACTATTAGCAAAATAATTAAACTAATTAAGCAAAGTAAACTTGTCGAGGAAAATTCAATGGGAGAAAGCTCTGGGAGAAACACCGGGATTCACTACCTATCCTATCCAGATTAATTCACATCTTCCAATCAATTTAATCCATACCTCTACAGCCAGGATATCACTACTGTGCTAGCTATCCCTGTCGGGAATTACTACGTACTAAATGATCAATTCAAATCCTACTGTCGTAGCTCAATGAATTAATTATACAGTCTTAGCACCTTATTTAATCCACTGTCGCTTCGATAAGTTACTATGTCACATGAAATAAGTTCAGTTAATAGGGTTTCACTGTCGCTAATAACCTAATTAACTACGATTCATTGTATTGGTGGCCAGTCAACACAAAGCATTAAGTAATTTCATGCAATAGAGATTGGAAGAAAAGAATCATAAATCAATCCATCAAATCAAGCAATAGCTACATCCTATGGTGTTTCCCCCAGAAATTGGGGTTTAGTTCATGACGAAACTGAGATAAATCGATAGGGTTTTGTTCATCATGTTCTAAATCAACAAGAAACAACTAATTCGATTTAGAAAATCCAACCAACTAATCGCTCTCGTTGAACTCAGCTCAGGTAGCCTTGGAAATCTCAATCGCCGATGGAAGTCGACTGATCGCCTTTTTGCTCTGCTGCCTTGCGCTTTCTTTCTCTCTCAAATAATTCTACCCGCGACCCCTTTTGTCCAATCGCTGCTTCCTTCCTTTCTTTTTTGTTCCAAGACTTTTTTCGTCCCCTTCTCCCAAAAGGAATCCGCTCCTCCTTAATTTGCCTGGCCGCCAGCTCCTTTCCATTCTCCCAGAGAATTCCGGCCCAAAAACAATAAATCCAGTCCGCCCTCTGCTCTACAATAATTCTCCTCCTCCACGAAAAGCCAGCCGCTCCCTGTCCCAAAACAGTGCCCGGCCCAATTCCAAATTTAATTTGCAGCCAATGCTTCCTTCAATAATAGGCTCGGTCCACAAATAATCCTCCTAGCCCAAGTGATTAGTCCACCAGTAGTTCGAGCCCGATTTATTGCTCATGCACTCGCTCCTTTTTCGTGCTTTCTCCACCTGTAACATATCAAACTCACGGCACTAGGCAGTAATGGTTTTTCAACCATTTCCGGGTTAGCGAGCCCTAAAATAGCACCAATTGGCTAAAACATACCACGGATAATCACATAAAGTCAAAGAATCCTATATATTAAAGCCGAATATAACTTTCGTTCCTAAATTCCTTCTCCATACCTATCTAGGTTGGGATTTCACGATCTCTCATCTAATAAATTCTAAATAGTAAAGCTTCCTTTTTCAATAAAAATTCAGCAATTACTTTACGCTAGCCATTAATTAATTCATGTAAGTTGTTCCTTAGAATGTTAATGAGGGAACTCAATTGCATGATGCAAAGATAGAACTTGATTTTTTTGTATATATAATGATGACGGGGAGTAAACTATACGGGGAATATTACAACTGTGGTCACTACTAATTAGATCTTCAATTATAGAATTAATATTGTATGGTATTGTAAAGTGGAGGCGGAGTGTCTATATGGCTAGTTATGGGTGTATAAGACTAACTCCAACCCATAAAGCCAAATTTAGCTCCACAAATAGTCAAATATGGCTTTTTAGCTTCCAAAATCTCATTTTCACTCCAACCCTACAAAAACCTAAATTTAGCTTCTCACCTTCCTTTTTCAATTTATTTGAATAAAACATACTTATTTGGTCTCTAATTTTTATAATTCACTTTAATTTTTTTTATAGTTCGCTTAATACTTTTGAAAACAATTTTTTTGATGAATTTTTTATTAAATTTCAAGACAAATTTTTTTGGAAGATTAGTCATTAATTTGTTAGCATTAAGTTGGAGATTATCCATTAATTTGCTTCGTTGGGCTTAATCTTTATTATAGCCCAAATCAGCCTCCAAATTTAAGGTCCACGTTATTGCAATTGTGAGTTGAGCAAAGAAGAAGAAAACAAGTAGTTGTGGCGGACAGATGTCGGACGTGTGTTTAGCGGGGCCACCACTTTTTGTCCAGCCAAATTTGGCATTTCAACCCAAGAGAAAGCTAAATTTAGCTCCTTAAACCAACTTACCCAAATTTGGCAGCCAACTTTTTTGTGGGTTGGAGCTTGAAAAAGAGCCAAATTTGGCTTTTTAGCATTTTAGCTCCTTGGGTTGGAGCCAACCTAAGTGTTAAAAAGTTAAAGGTAATACACAATTATATATGTATAGATTGGTGGTATAAGATTACAACTACACCTTAATTGCATGCTCATGATATGCAATAGTCTCTCACTTTTTTTTTTGTCAAAAGATATCATATATTGATCAAAACAGAAGATAGTTACACCCTGGAACCCAGCCAGGTCTGGAAATAAAAAAAACGACTCATGGTCGGGTACAAAGAGAGGGCTTTCCTAGCTACCAAATGAGCTACCCTATTGTTCTCTCGTCCTACAAAACGCACTCTAAAGCCAGGCTGAACACGAAAGTAATGAACAATCTCTTCAAGAACAGCACCCAACCGGCTATCGCTTGTGTTGGCCTGATTAATTTTGTCAATTATCACCTTCGCGTTGCCCTCAAAGCAGACCTCCGACAAACCTTGCTCTAATAGCTTCCCTCAGCACAAGCAATTCAACCACCGCAGGATCATCCATGTGCGCGAACTGGACCCCTCTAGCCAGCAACAGAGCCCGAGCTGGGTCAAAAAGAACCATCCCACCAGTCGAATGAGACCCACTCTTAGTAGCCCCGTCCCACATGCAAACCCAATGGGCACCATCCAAATGTGAAGTTGCGCGCATTATCGGGAGCTGAACCCTAGGCGCCTGATCCGCCGGAAGACCCATCCATTCCTCAACCTGCTGGTTAAACTGTCGCATGAGCGCCGGAATCCCAAATTGCTTGCCTTCAAAGACCACCCAATTCCGAGATCTCCAGATCCGCCAAAGGATGGCAACAACAGCCATAACCATCTCAGAATGATGGATCAAACCCAACAGACGTTTGAGAAACAAAGGGAAAGTCTGCCGAGGCAAACCCTCTCCCAAGTATTCCAGCCCCGAATAATCCCAGAGGGCCCGCGCCACCGAACAATAAAGGAACAAATGTTCCATTGTCTCCGGGCCTTCTGATGACTCGGTATTTGCACATGTTTTCCCCTTTGTTTCTTGATTGTTTGAGCTTGAATTATTGCGTCTTTGGCCTATTTTATGCTAGGTTGTATTCCTTTGTCCCATTTCAGGTCCTAGCACATAAAGTGAAGCATAGGCGCAAGTTTCAAGTCAATCAGAGATCAATTGACGATTCGAGAGAAGAAACTCGGGCATGACCTGAAGAAGAATGGATTTCTACCTCACTTTATGGACAAAGAATCATGCAAGCTTGTTATGAAACGAAAGAGGACGAGACTACGAGCGTCTGGGATCAAACGGCGATTGATTCGGAGTCCGGACGAGGGAGAAACGAAGCATTAAACAGAGGCTGAGCAAGTTGCACGGCCAGAATGGTGATATGCACGGCCGTGCACCCTGGCCGTGCGAGAGGGCTGAAGTTCGACTAAATGACACGCTGCGTTTTGAGTTGCACGGCCAGAATGGTGATATGCACGGCCGTGCACCCTGGCCGTGCGAGTCGGGATTTCCTGGTTTTAAGCCAAATTTCGAACCAAAGAGGAGGGAGAGCTGGGTTTTGGATCCCAAACACCCAAGGGACGAACCCTAGAGAGAGAGGGCGATTTGAGGGCATTCTTGGAGTAGAGAAGGAGGATTTCTTCGCCTTGGGAGCTCGAGGAACAAGCCCGGACTTGAAGACTGATCATCTGAAGATTCTTACTGCAGTCTCTCTCTTCTCTATGGAGTAACTTCCCTTCACTTAGGTTTTGAGGAACCCTAGCTATGTTTGTTTGATTGGATGATTGTATGAGTACTCTGACTGGATAATCTTGAGTTCATATTCAATCTATGCATGTTTTCATGATTCAATTCTGCTTTAGTCGAGATTATTGATTCTGCTTTGATCCTATGAGAGGGAATACCTGATTAGGTCAATAGAGCACCATAGATTGATAGTAGCGGATCAATTGCTTTAGTCGAGGGTTGATTCACTGCTTTGTATCGATTGAGAACCTCTTTCGATAGAGGGAGTCTAGTTCAGAACGCCTTGATCAGTTGTTCTAGAGAAGGATACGTCCCTCTAGGCAATTGACTCAAGAGGGCCTTGTTCCTTTAGTCGAGACTCAAGGTCTACTCAAGGATTCTCCGCATTGTGAATGAAAGTGAAACAAGTTGGAAATCATCAATCGTTAGTCTGGCTAGTGGCTAGGGGGAATCATACCTAAGTGAGTTCCCAACCTGTAATTAGATTAACTTTAACTGTAGTTTGCTAGAGTAGTTTTAGTTCTTTTATCTTAATTTGGTTTGCTAAATAATAAACTGAAGCTGAGTAATAGTAACTCTAGAGACCCGTGAATTCGATATTTATCACTTGAGCCACTATACTGCAGTCCCTTCCATTGGTTACACTTGGCCTTTGTTAGGTGTTGTGTTTTTGGAGTATCACCTTCCCAACAAACTGGACACCGGGCAATAGTCTCTCACTTTCATTGATCTAAAGTATGTTTATTTATTAGGTGCTTATTTACAAAATATGTGAATTTTTCTGCACAACATTGATATCTTTTGACTTTAGTTATATGAGCGACAAGATAGATCATTATTTGTATGATGGACATGGATTATACATATCAATCATGGACCAATTTACCATCGATTGAGCATTCTACTACCACAAGGATGTTCAATTACTAAGTTTGTTCGGGTATACACTCATCAAGTGGGAAATATTAAAATATCGTTGAATCTATCATTACATATGATAATTTGAATTATTTGCGTGAATTTGTATCACGGGGCTGAAAGAAATGTTAGACGTTAATAAATATTTGACCCAAACATATAGATGCAGGAAAATCAAAATCAATGAAAAATTATGAACAATATATGAAGTTGAAAATTGTTGGTCAGTCAAAGAGTATATGATCGTGAATAATGATCTTCAAAATGGTGATGAAAGAGTGACTCTTATTGGTTTGCATGATCACTACTCCTATCCACAATCAAACTAAATGTGGCAGCCCTCCTATCAGACAAAGATTGAATAATAAATCATCTTAATAAGTATATACAAAGAGAAATAGTAGCCTATCATTATTGTGAAAATGAGAAAAATAAAATGTACGCCCATCGGGCGGACACAGAACTAGTAACTATATTATATATGTATTCTGATTAACAAGTATGAATGGTTCCATAAACGATTCACCACTGAGTCTAAAGATAACTAATTGAATTATGAGCCACTTACTTTTTAAATTTAATATCCAGTATAATTAAAAGGGAGTTCTTTTCCACTTATTAATAGATCGTTGTTTTTTCGAGTATGGAGAGGACCACGAGTGCAAGAAAATAAGACGATGCCGAGAGACAAATATACTCGACATTTGCGAGAGAAATAAATATACTTGAACTTTGTGAGAGTTCAAAAGACAAGGTTTTAGGATTTGAAAGAGTGGAATTTCATACTTCAGTTCCACATTTTGTTCATTTTTATTTTTTCTTTAGAGCTTTCCTTTCTTTCTTAGCTAGAATTTTTTCTAATTATACATGAAATTTCATATTAGATATATACATATCAACAGTGGCGGAACCAGAATTATTGAAGAGGGGTATCGCCGATAAAAAATTATAATAAATAAAATAATTAAATAAAAATTATAAGAAATTACTGGAAATTTATTTATAAGTTCACAACGTCATGTTTACTACGAATTATGACGATTTTTCATATCTTGAGATTTTTTTAAAATACATTCATCGTTTATGTTGCAAATCAAACATTTTTCGACATACACAACTACATGACCATTCATAAATTAGTCACTCAACCAAAGAGAATCAACATACGTCTAAAATCAAATTAAGTTAAAATAAATTAGTTTACGATCAATATATGGCAAAGGAAAAATACACTTGTATAGCCAAAACTTTCGTGTTTGTGACAATAATAGCCAAATTTGGAGAAATACCACTTATAGCCATATTTTGTAAAAGGTGTTGGACAAATATAGTCATTTCCGTTAGATACTTTAACACCGTCAACTTCTTTTATTGTTAGCTGAATAGGCGCCAACTCAGCTTACACGTCAGTGCCAAATAAGTCATAAGTGACACGTCAGATATTAAAAAAATAAATTACAATTTTTTTTGTAATTTAATTAAAAAACTAATTAATTTTATTTTAATTAAAAAACCTCATAAATCTCCCATGTCTACTGTCGTTCCCTTTGTCATAGGAACCCTAATTCCCCTTTGCTATCACACCGCTGCCGCCGACAACAAATTGCTTTGCCCTCTCTGACCCCCTCCATTTCCAACATCCATCCCCCTCTGCCATCAACGCCCTATTCCACCGTTCATCCTCCTTCAACACCTCCACCGCCGCCATACCAGGTCGCTTCTCTGCCGTCGACCGCTAGCACCTTGCCGCCAATACGTCCAAGCTCTGAATGGTGCGGTGATTATGCATGATGCATCGATCGCTAGAGGAGTTTCTCTGATTCGTCCGCTTGGGGAATCAATTAGATCGATGATGCGTCGTGGTAACCAGAGGCACCGAAATAGCGAAAGCCCAAGCTAGAGCTGGTGACAAGTCAGATTAATCAGATCTGGGTTGGGTGAAAGAAATTTGACGGCGGCAGAATGTACGAGGAGGATTACCATGGTTGCCTGGCATCGATGGGGGAGAAAATTCTCCTCTGCTTGCCTGCTGGAGCTGGAATTGTGCTTGGATCTGGAGCATTTGAGACTGGGTAATCTGGTTTAGGCCGAGGGAAGAAGAAGGGAAGGAGACTTGGGGGTTGTAGATCGAGTACCCTTTTGAAATAAATTTGTATAGCGCGACTGAGATTTAGGGGGGATTGGATCTGGAGGTTGTTATCTGGAAATGGCGATTTGGGGAAGATGAATTGTTGGAAGTTTGGCTTGGTGGAATCTTCAGTCGCCAGGGCTTCAATCGCCGCCAGTCGATGGAACCAACCTCCATTTTCATAGACAAAATTTGAAGGCGGCAGCAACCCAGTTCGGCCTTTCCTTAGCCGCCAGTTCTTGGATGCGCGGCTCTGTGTAGTAGTAGGGACGGCGGAGTTTCGACATTTGTTCTCAATATCTACTCCATGCTAGTACACTATTGCCGCTTCTCCAGCTCTGTGACCATTGATAGGCCTCTTGTTGTCTGATTCATCCTTCAGGCTAGAATGATCTTCGTGATGAACTCTTACATTGAGTTTCTGATTCAATTCCAAATGCTCCTTGTTGCCAACACCATTTTACCCTCCGGGCTCTCTGTTCATACACAGAGAAGAAAATGTAGCTGATTTTTGTTCAGCTCTGCAACCTCTATTATTCATTTTTTTCTTCATTCCCTAAACCCACGTGGATTTTCATAGACAAAATTGGCTGAAAGTGCACGCCACGTCAGCATCTCCGTTTGTCCGGTCAGACTTAAAACTAGCACCATCTCCGTTTGTCCGGTCAGATTTAAAACTAACACCGTTAAAGAATTGAGTGGAAATGGCTATAAGTGGTATTTCTCCAAATTTGGCTATTATTGTCACAAACGTGAAAGTTTTGGCTATACAAGTGTATTTTGCCTATAGTAAACTACAATCTACCAATCGGCAATTTAAGAAAAAACAAAGTATGCCTAAAGTAATATCATTAGCATTTTTTCTCTAGTTCTACCAATTAAATTAACCAAAATCAAATCACAATCTCCCATAAATATACGCTTTTCGCCTATTAACTACAAATTGACAAGTTAAATTGGGTTGTGGGTTACTTAAAACAAGCATGCTTATTTGATTTTACTTATTATTGTTAATTACTAATTATGATGAATAAATTTATAACATTAAAACTATTGTCGTATAATGAAAGTGTGTCGCTTATAATTATTAGAGAGGTGTCGGAAGTCCCAAATTAAAAAATTATGTATCAAAAAAATAAAGATCATTCATAAAATTTTCGGGCGGACGGATATCGGACGACACCCCTCTCCATGCTCTAGATTCGCTCCTGCATATCAGATAAAGAATCATCAATAAACAATTACCATTCGCACAAAATTAATTACCGTCGCCAATATACCAACATATAAAGGAATAAAATCTAACAACAACTCAATAGTCAAATATCTCGGAGCAATTTGCGATCTCAACCTCTAGTATAGATGTATATGATCAGATTACAACTCTGCATATAATACATGTGAATGAAAGAGGCCGAATTGAATTGAAGGTCTGTTTTGCGATAAAAGGGCAGGACATGCAGACTGAAGGGACGGGAGCTTGTCAGTTGTCATCCATTTTCCTTGTTTATCTTGCTTTGCAAAAGGTGCTATTGCTATAGCTACCTATAGGAGTCAAAACATAGCTCGACCCGATTAACCCGCCCGATCAATCCGACCCGCAACCCCACCGCAATTTGAATTGACTAAAAGTCAACAACCCGTAACCCGCCCGACCCGCAACCCGACTAACCTGTAACCTTATTAATCTAAACTCGATTGATCCGCAACCCGATTGATCCGCAACCCAAACCCGATTGACCCGAATTCGACTAACCCGTATCCCGACCGACTCAAACCAAACTTCACCTAGTCCACTTGAATAATTATTATAATATACCTGTTGGGGGTATAGCTAAGAAGGCCCAAAGAGAGGCCCATCGAAGCTCCAATGGGCCAAAAATGGGCCCAGGCAGACACACAGCGGGAAAGGCCCATAGGTGGGCCTGCCATGACAGGGTGAGCGGCACATGAGGACAAAGCGCTACAGGCCAAGGAAGTCCAGTCTGTCAAGTGGTCCTCCCCTGCAGGCGCCTGACAGACGCCATAGGCCTGACAAAACAGTTGGAGTGTCTGACAGAGGTACGACATTAAATGTCACTATGACGTGGAGGAGATCAGCCTCGAAATCGGGTGAGTATAAATAGGGGCAGTTGCTAGCATTTACACAGGTTGGACTCTCTCACTAAACTCTTGCTCTAGAAGCACTTCTCTCTCTAAGACACTGACTTGATCGTCGGAGGGCTAACGGGCATGGGCGCCCCCCTCTGTGTTCGTGTGTGTAGGCAGGCGCCAGTCAGAAGGAACGTGGGCGTGTTGGCGAGGCGTCGAGACTCAAACAATTGGCGCTTCAGGATAGGGGAATATAACAAAAAATCATGAGTGAAGAGGGGCCTATGAGCGGAGAGAGAGAGAGGAGATTACGGAAGAGCAGTCTGGGCAGATGAGAGGGTTGACGCTCGAGATGGACGAGGGTGAGGAGAGTGATGGCATGTTTCAAGGGTCGGAAGGCGCCTCGGTCACAAAAAAGAGCTATTTATGATCAACGAAGATCAGGAAGAGGCGATCGAGGCGCTTCGACGAGAGGTTGACGCCTTGAAGAGAGGTGAAGGGATGACGCCCAACCCAACTTCGAAGAAGAGGGAAAGAGTGGCGGAGACGGAAAGCGAGTCAGGACATATGAGGCGCCCAAGCCTGTGGCGCCCACATGAGCGCAATGGTCCGGACATCAATGGATGGAACGGGGGAATCCTGGGGCGCCTATCACGCCACTGCTCCGTAAGGCATCCCCTGGCGCGGAACATACTGATGTAGCCCGTGGGAACCAACATTCCCCCCTCCCAAATTATGACGGGACAGCGGACCCGGATGATCACTTGAATGGATACTTCACCAAGATGCATATTTACAATAGCTCAGATGCTACCCTGTGGAAAGTGTTCCCATCGACCTTCGCGGGCGGTGTCCTTGACTGGTACCACCAAATTGAAGAGGGACGCATTGACTGCTTTGAGCAGTTTGCGGCGATGTTTTGGCAAAGTTCGCCAGTAGGAAGCGCCGCTCCCTGACCATAGGCGCCCTTTACAAGGTCAAGCAAAAGGAAGGGGAGGCGTTGAGAGAATTCTACGAAAGGTGGCTCTCAGTAGCCTTGGCGATAAAAGACGCCCAACCGTCAGTATTGAGAGTGTGCCTGAACGAGTGTACCAACAGCGAGGAGCTATGCAGGGCGCTCGCCAAAAGGGACGTGGTATCCACGAAAGACTTGGATCACCGAGTGCAGAAGGTGATCATGCTTGAAGAAACTTTGGCGGCCAGAAGGGCAGATAGGCGAAGGACGAGGGGAGAGGAAGTTGAGATGATAAGGAGACCACACCCCCAGAGCGGGTCGGGATATGCACCCGTAAACCACCCCCAGCAGAGAAGAATGGATATCGGGCGCCCGACGCCCAGGGGGACGGGAGCCTTTGTAGAGTACAATGACACGCTGAAGAACATACTGCAACACATCAAGGAGAAAGGCTATCACATCCGATGGTCATGCCCCATGAGGGGACAGCCCAACGAACGGAACTTGGACCGATATTGTGATTTCCACCGGGAGGTGGGGCACCATACGACCGACTGCTACCAATTGAAAACTGAGCTGCAAGGCCTGACGGATAGATGGATGCTCAATGATTTTGTCAAGAAGCCTGAAGAGAGGGTGCATTGCGCGTGTGTGGCTGGCACAGAGAGAGGAGCGGCGGAACTGCCACCCCCACCCTACGTTCTCGACCAAGAGAAGGCTCCTGAGCGAATACGACTTATCATCGAGTCCATTTCAGGAACGGTGGATCTGAGAGAAAAGTTGGAGGCAAACCGCCGGCTAATAGCCACCACTGCCGATGTTCAGGAGGCCATCGACATCAGCTTCAACAGGGCGCCAGAGGAGGCGTGCATGCTCCCATCCATGGACGCCTTGGAGATACAAGGAGTTGTGGCAGGATGCAAAGTGAGGAGGATGCTGGTGGACACGGGGAGCTCCATGGACGTGTTGTTCAAGGACACGGTGACCCGCATGCAATTAGCGCCTGAGTTTATCAGACCATTTGAGTCTGTGCTAGTCAGATTTTCCGGGGCACCCGCCAGGGTGATTGGGCGAGTGCCCCTGCCATTGACTTTGGAATAGTGGACTGCCCATCATCGTAGCTCTCAGACGGGGCGCCTCGCGTTACGCAAGAGAGACTGAACGAAAGCGACGACGCTCCGAAGCAAGGGTCGACGTAATGGAGACAGTGGCGCAGGAGGCACCTCGAGCCGAAGCTGCTGACGAAGAACTTTTGGTAGCGTTGGACGAAGGGCGCCCGGAAAGACAGGTGAGGATATCGGCAGAGGCGCCAGGCGAAATGAAAGAGCGCCTGATTGCCATTCTAAAGGAGTTCGCGGAGCTTTTCGCGTGGAGTGCTCTGGAGATGCCGGGCGTCGCACCCGAAATGGTCGTACATAAGTTTGCAGTCGAAGAAGGAAGGCTCTCTGTGCAACAAAAGCGCAGGAACCTATCATTAGAGAAGGAGGCGGTCGGCCCTTAGGGTCGAAGTGGACAAGCTCCTGGGCGCCAATTTGGTCGAGGAAACCGCCTATGTCAATTGGTTGTCGATGTGGTCTTCGTGCTGAAGCCGTCAGGAGATTAGAGGATGTGCGTGGATTACACGAGCCTCAACAGAGCATGCCCCACGGATGCCTACACGATGCCCCGAATAGACCAATTTGGTGGATTCCACGGCATATCATGAGATGCTAAACTTTGTAGACATGTTCTCCGGGTACCATCAGATTCCCATGGCAGAGGAAGACAGACCAAAACCAGCTTTCATGACACCCTTCGGGAACTTTTGCTACCGGGTCATGGGGTTCAGACTCAAAAATGCGGGCGCCACCTATCAGAGAATGGTCAACAACGTCTTCCGCAAACAAATCGGTCGTAATGTGGAGTCCTACGTGGACGACTTGATAGTCAAAAGTAGTAGGCGTGAGGATCACTTGGAGGACTTGCGGGAAACGTTCCAGGCCATGCGGGCGCACAAGCTTCGTCTCAACCCCCTCAAATGTGTGTTCGGCGCCGAAGCAGGGAAATTTTTAGTATTCATGATCACCAAGCGAGGCATTGAGTCCAACTCAAAGCAGGTGGACGCTATCCTCAGACTTACACCCCCCAAAGACGCCCAAGGAGGTGCAAGGCTTGGCAAGAAGGTTAGCAGCCTTGGTGCGCTTCATCCCACGGTTCGCAGATACGGCCGCTCCCTTTTTCCGGACGCTCAAGAAGGGGGTGCGTTTTCAATGGAATGCTAAGTACGATGGGGCGTTCGAAGAATTGAAACAACTCCTAGCCGCCCCGACCGTAATGATGGCGCCCAGAGCGGGCGAGACGATGTACCTCTATATCGCCGTATCAGAAGTCTCAGTAAGTGCAGTCCTCGTCTCAGTAAGTGCAGTCCTCTGGAGAAGACAAACCAATATACTATGTCAGTCGTACCATGGTCGCCCAGGAAAGGCGATATGCACCCATTGAGAATGCCGCATTGGCGGTTGTGATGGCCGCGACCAAGCTGAGGCCCTACTTCCAGGCGCACACCATCATAGTGCTCACCAACCTACCGTTGAAATCTACGTTAGAGTTAATGGACGTGGCTGGGCGCCTCGTCAAATGGGCGGTTCAACTAAGTGAGTTTGACATTCGGTATGCGCTACGACCAGCGATAAAGGCCCAGGTCTTGGCGGATTTCATTGCGGAAGGAGTAGCAAAGGCAGAACAAGGGGTCGATGACTATTGGCAAGTTCAGGTCGACGGGGCGGCCAGTCGCACTGGCGCCGGGGCAGGTATCGTGATTATAAGCCCAGGTGGCGCAATACATGAAGTTACGTTGCGATTTGCGGCCCTGAAGACAAAAAAAACGTCGCGGAATATGAAGCAGTTATCGCAAGCATGAGTATGGCCAAGGAGTTGGGAGCCCACAAGATCCAAGTCAGGTCCGATTCCGCCCTCGTCATTAATCA